GGCGGACAGCTGCCTCTTCAGCCGGCAACCTGGCTTAGCGCGTCGATTGGTCCCCAAGTCCCCTGGACGCCGTCCTGGCTGGAGCGCCACCATGCGCTAAGGCGTGGGCGCTCTAGCGCTGCTGCCGGTGCAAGGGCCCCCTGTAGCCAGCCACTGCAGCCCGTTGCAGGCTCGGGACCTGGCGGCCACAGCGGTGCATGTGCTGCGAACACTGCTGCACGACCACGAGCGGGACGCAAGTATCTGTACATGTGACGGCGTGGTGCTGTCCCACTGCAGCACGCGTTACCCCGCTGTAGATCCCACTTAAAGCTCCATACGGGCGGCTCACAGCGGCACGCGCAGACGACTGAAGGCCCAGAGCAAGTACAGGTACCTGTCTCTGAGCAACGCCATCGCCCGTCGCGACGGCCCTCCACACGAGGCTCTCCGTTAATCTGCACACGGGCCACTCTCTATTCCCAGCACCGTCTCTCAAACATGACGTTGCTTCTTATCGACAGTCTCCCTTGCTATTGCCACTGGATCGATATCGAACGATCAAGAACAACAATACGAACAGGCAACATTAGATACACACACAATTATTGGCTTCAGAACAAGACGACAGACATCAGTGGCATCAACGTGCCATCATCTCGTCCCCCTCATCTCCACCAGCGAGATGATATATTCATCCGCCTCCCTCACCATACATAGCCCTCCATCCACCAATGGCTTTTCTCTCTCTCTTCCATCAACTCACCACTATTATCAGTTCTCCCCGGCCTCCTATCGGTCCCCTTCCGTCAACAACACCGACGCTGCCAGTGGCAATTTCAGAGCCTGGCCTCGCCATGCCCGATTCCCCGAGAATGGCACCAAGAACCAGGGGGAGGTTCCCGGCACCATGCTGAAGCGGTCCAAGTTCCTTCTTTAGCTCCCTAGACACTTTCTTTAGCGTCAAGGGGGTACTCGTTCCAGCGTCCTAGCACGACTTGATTCTATTGAGGCTTACGGGCGCAGGACGTTGGGTAGGGGAGACTGGAGCTGTCCAAGCTGTCCAACCGACTGACGAGAGATGGCGTCGCTTTTTGCGCAACGATCAACCTCGCCGAGATCCAAGCGGATGCAAGGGACTGAGGCCCGAGTCGCCAAAGCCATTGTCCCTGTCGCAGCCCGTGTCCGGGCCCAGGTGAAACATGCTGCGCTGCTCGAGGCTCGTGTCTGTGATGTGATGTGATTCCGGCGACCAGGCCCGAGTCATGCAGGCACCATCTGCAGGTCCTCCGGCAATTGACCGCATTAGCACATGCGTCCGCCCCGGTGCTGCTTGGCTGTACGACATCTGGTTGCAGTTAAACGAGACCTCAAGCGTGGCCTCCGCCACGGCAACGTCTAATGCGACTTGATGTCCGGTGCTACACAGGATACGACTGTTATTATTGCGTCTCCCGGGTCTCCTAGGATAGGAGCTTTAGAGCGATTAGCTGACTATTCGCCAGCCGTGCTGGATATGTGCCCCTGGTCTAGCACCGCGAGAAGGGGAAAGGCCATCACACAATGCCTCCATCAACAATGTGACTCCGATGGCTTGCAGAGGCACAGGTCTATGGGGCCAAGGCGTTCAATCATTTGCACATGGAAAAGCAGCTTTGAGATCGCCATGATCGAAAGCAGCGGACAGCAGTTGTCAGTGGCTATCGCGGCACCGAGATGCGGACCTCAGCTCCCGATTGTCGCCCGCACTCTTACTCGCTAAGACCGCCGACGGCCTCTTTTTTGCTTTCTCACGTCCTCAGTCTCAATCCCTGCTCGTCGCGTGTTCGAGCGGACCAACAGCCACTGACGCGTCTGTAGATGACATGTGCGAGGCCAGGCTTTCAAGGTGAACAGTCAAACCTGCTCCGGCAATTGAGCTCATCCTTCAAACCGAGCGCAAGACAATTACTAACCTCGGTGACACCCAAATCACTTCGAGCTCCATATAATGTCAATGCAGCACATGTGCGGAAAGTGACACGACTCATGGGCGTCCACCTCCACAAGCCCTGTTCCCTCGTGGTGCTTCTGACGATGCATCCTACGTGAAAACCACGCCTACAACGCATTCCGACCCTGTTCTTAGGTAGGCAGTTGAACCGATGCCCGAAATGAACATGTTCATGCTTGCCCACACGACAAGAAGAAAACTCCGACAGCTTACGGTCCCAGACGACGGTTCGAGATCGGAGTAAACTACAGGTCCATGCTCTGTCGCAACCATCATCAGACTCTTGTGAGTGGTGCGCATTCCTCAGCAGTCCGTCTTACTGTATCAGACCTGCTGCTACTCCTACTAGCGGGAAGTGAGACTGTCAAACAACGGCATGATGCCCTCTGACATCCGACTTTCGCCTCCCCCGTCTTTCAGGGGTTGGACGGCAATTTGGCACCTGTCACTCACATGCTGGTCGTGGAGCCTGTTGGAGAGCCGCCGTTTGATCATCATTTTAGCATATTGAAGCACCGCCACTCTTTGTTAGCGTATGTACATGCTTATCACTTTATCACAGCAATCAGCAAGGCGGCTCGATGAGCGACTTCAAGGTTTGGAAATCCAGTACCTGTACTTGGGGTCAGCTTAACGCTGCCATTCGTTTCCATGACTCTGGATCAAACGACATTGCGTATTCTAACTCGGAGTCATGCCGCTACATAGTCACACATGATATGGAGATACTATCACGTTCATGCTCCCAACGGCCTACCGACTTCACCACCGTAAACCAAATCTGCTTCTGCAAGGGATGACGGTGAATAAACGGCATCCAGGGCTGTCCGCAAATCACTCACTTAAACTCCATTCCAGCGAGCATGGGACCGACTCTCCAGATCCCACCCCGGCCATCACATCTCAAGCCTCGCCATGTACGAGTAGCCTTGCACAAGATGTCCATCGATACATCTCGGCAAAGACAGCCCTACGAGGTTCATCAGCCGCCATATCTCGGCTATCAGCAAACGATCTCAGGTGTAGCTCAGTACCTTGCCCAAGATTTCTTATGATTCTTCACCGGAAATGCGGGATCCCGCGTGATCCCACGGGTATATACACATGGCTTCCCCCCAACCACCAACAACTCCACGAACCCAACACTACAGGCATACCGACGTAAAGGTACAGTAATACATCACCCTCCCAACCCCCTCACTCCCCTCCCAACGCTCCCCGTCTCGAAAACCTCGACGACGCCCAGCCCAACCGCCTGCCCCAGCACCCACTCCCACTCGACGCCCCAAAACTCCTTCCACCGCGTCCCGTACAGCCCTCCCCCCTCGAACCGCTCCCTGAACCAGTCCTCCGGCGCCTCGCCCCATCTTGTTCCGTCCACCATCTCGCGGAGCCAGTCCACCGTCCCCTCCGCGAGCTTCAGATACCGCCCGTGGCCCGGCACCGCGATGCGGAAATCCGACGACCCGTCCGACGCCGCCTGCGACGACGAGCCGCCACCCGTGAGAAGCGTCGGCGCGCCTCCGCTGCCGCCGGCGAGATGTAGCGCGTTCTGGCCGCCGACGGCCGAGACGCTGCCCGAGGCAAAGCGAGACACGTGGTGGATCGACGTCAGCGTCGTGCGGTCCTCGGGCCGGACGTGAAGCGTCGTCCCCGGCGTGGCCCGCAGCGAGCTCGTCAGAAACCCGGCCCTGACCAGCTCATCCGTCTGCGCATGCGTCACGGCATCCCTCGGAATCGTCTGCGCCGTCGGGTTCTCCCTCAGGAACGCCAGAAAACGGTCCCTCGTCTCCTCCGACACGCCAACCGCCTTGCGCACCATGGCCTCGTAGTCGGCCATCTCTATCAGCGCCTCGCCCATGCCGCCTCTCCTCTCGACGCGCACTTTCCGGATGACGCCGCTCCTGGACAGCTCGACGACTTCCCTCTCCACTGTGGACGGCGAGGTGGTGAGGATCGCGTGTAAGTGGCCCAGCGTGACAATCGGCGGCACGGCCAATCGATAGTTGAGGATCTCGGCGGACCGCGTGGACTTGAACCCCGTGGGCGGGACGGGCGTGAACATGTTGTTCCGGACGTACCGCATCGCCTGGACGACGTCTCTCAGCGTGAGCTCCTCCTCCTGCAGTATCCGCGCCACAACCCCAATGTCCGAGAGCTTGTCCTGGAACTGGGTGTCGGGGTCATCTTTCGGGGTCGACTTCTTCTTGCCCTTCCGGGGAGAGGGAGATGGTGAGGAAGTCGCCGCCTTTGCAGGGCTGCTGGAAGATGTCTGTCGTGATGCCTGGGTTGGCCTGCTGGGTTTTCTGACCCGGTTGGATTTGCCCAGGATGGATCGTAGACTTTGTGGCATTTTTGTGACTGGATGTTTGTTCCTCCCTTTCTCTTTCTTCTGGTATATCTTCCTAGAGTGGATTTGCCTAGCTGTTGCCCGACCCCTGGGATTTGGTCAAGGAGGATGTAACAGGTTTGAAACTGTCCTGGTTGTGATGTGTTGTAGCTTAATCGGTGTGTGTCATTCTACACACTTCAAGAGCAACACCGAGAAACGGTGGCGGATATCGCACACGGATGAGGAATCATCTGAGAAAAACTCGCTGCTTTAAACCGAACAACGTGCGGTGAAAACCCCGGAGTCTTTTCAAACCGATAACATGTATGTTATGTATGTGGAAAGCCAGCCATGTATTTGGTAAGATGAGATGGAGAAGTTACATATAGTCTTACAGGTACGGTGCCTGAAACTCTAAAAAATTGCACGCCGTTGTGGCAAAATGAAGACACAGCTCGGCTTACTAAACTTGGAACCAAAGGACAAGCCTCATCCATATGTCAACTGGCATGAGAGTTAGTCGCAAACAGGCAATTTAAGGTAGAGACTACAATAATCATCCATTATGTATGTGCATTTCGCTATAGTACTGAACCCTTTTAACTAAACGCTGAATCATCAGTCTTGACAATGCATATTAATCCACCTACCCATCGGTATCCAATTCAACCCACCCCCCCTTTTCTCCAACAACTTTCAACCAGCCGTAGTCAAGATGTACGACGTGATTGCGCTCATCCGCTCACTCGTCAGCTTCAACGAAATCTTCAAAAACTCCCTCGCAATTTCCGGCTCCTTCTGCTGAAGCCTCTTCCACGCCTCCGTGTCCATCACCCAGACGGTGCAGTCTCTCTCGACCTGCGCCGTCGCCGTCCGGCTGGTTTCGGAAAAGAAGGGCAGCTCGCCCAGCGTCGTTCCCGCCACGATGCTCTCGCAGAGCCGGCCCTGGGGGAGGTCGTATTCTGCTCGGATGATGCCGCGCTCGAGGAGGTAGAAGCCGTCCGCAGGCTCGCCACGCCGGAACAGGACCGTGCCGGCGGGGTAGTCCTTGCGTGCAAAGTACGAGGCTGCCTGGAACCAGAAATCTTCATTCTTGTCGCTCAGGCCCTGGAATATCTGCAGCATCAGTCGCAGAGGTTCATTAAAGCTCTGCCATCTCGATCTGCGCTGTATGTCGACACTGTTGAGTGCGTCGTAGGCCGCCTCCACGAGGTGGTTGCGGCGCGGAGAGTTGAACGGCGGGTCGAAAGAGTCCAGTGTCGTCGACGTCGTTGGCACGTCCAGATTAGCGGTGGCATGCTTCGGCGTGCTTAGCTGCTCCTGCTGGGCGTAGAGCGTCTTGAGTAATTCGTTCTCGCAGCTTTCCAAGGCCGAGTTCAGATCCGGCAGCATCATGACCTCAATACCCCCGCTCCCTAGCCCCACGGCCCTGAGACTCCGGCCAAGTTCGCTATCGGCATCCAGGCCACTGAGAATGAGGTGCACCCCTTTATTGTTCAATAACCGGCTGATCGTGTTGAAGGCTTCACCCGCGGAGTAGTCAAGTCCAGTAACATGCCACATGTCGAGAATGAGGAACTTGATCGGCTTCCGAGCAAACGTGTGCTCGTCTAGAAGCTCGCGTATCTTGGCCTCCACGCTGACAACGGTGCCAAAGAACAAGAAGCCGGTGAGCTTCATGATGTGAATTTGCCGGCCAACCTGTTGCAGGTAGCTATCCTGTGACGGATTCCGTCTGACAGTCGAAGTCACGACTTCGCCATCATAGATTGCTCGAATGGCGGATACCCTCGACGTCTGGATGGTGAGCGACACAAACGCCAGCAAGATGCCAACGCCAATGCCCACCACAAAGTCGTAGATGCCCATGACTAGGACGATGATGATGACGGTCATGTACTCTGCAGGCCTGAGCTTCTTTCGTGGAAGCCATACTGCTTCGAGCAGTAGCTCGAAGCCAAGGTCGAAAATGAGCGTTCCAACCATCATCACTGGGATCCAACCAATGATGCTAGGGCCAATAACCATGACGCCGAATGTGAGAAGCGCAAGCAGGTAACCGGCAAGCCGCTTGTTGCCTCCGGATCGCAAGAAGAAGACGGTATTGGCATAAACGAGGTAGTTTTGGATGCTGCCTAGGCATCCTGAAACAAAGTTGGAGTATCCATGGAGCCTCAATTCCTTGTCCAAGTCGGCGTTGTCCTCCCCTGAATTGAGTGCCAGCGCGGGGACATTGATCGGAACGTGGAGGATGCCAAAGAAGGTCAAGGCAAACATGGCCGGGATCACTTGGATGATAGCCCCCCAGTGTACCAGATGGAACTCTGTTCGAGATTATCAGCCGGAAAAATTAACGCGATGAGGAGTAGAAGGGAGAACTTACGATACAGCGTGTAAAAATACCACCAAGGTTCATCTGGCGGAGGCCCAACGAAAATCCAACCGTGATCTCGGAGAGTGCTCGGCTCTAGTACATCAAGCGAGAAGACGAAAAGGTAGAAGACCAGAGGAATGGCCAAAATGAACAAGGGGAGGAAGTATTTGGATGCGCCTTTCATCTGGCCATAGAACAGAATAATGGCCAGGATCAGAGGACATATCCAGAGGGGTATCGTTTTGGTGTCCATGAGCTTTTGCAGCGTATCGAGGTCGTACTCGAGGCTGCCTTCTAGCCGGGCCGAGACTTCGAAACCGGTGGCGATCAGGAACCAACCGACGCCTCCAATGCATCCTATCAGTATGTGCCTGGGGATGAACCCGACCATGAACCCGAACTTGAATCGGCCCATGAGGTAGAATACCAAACCGGTCAACATAGAACTCAGGGCATAGGCGACAATGGTTGTGGCAATGACCGCATCGGGGTTCTCTTCACCTACGATATCCAGAATCGTGGCTGCCATGTTATGGAAGAAGGGAACGACCTCAATCTGAACCAGGGTTAGAACCAGAGGCTAGACATCTAGACAATATCTGAACAGTGCTTACATACCAGCTCAGATCCCACAGCACCCTTGAATATGCTGCCCGTGGAGAAGACAAGTTGTGCCACTATGGTGCTGACGTAGTAGATGGAGATACCAGCAGATCCTAAATGAGAGAATAAAGGGGTTCCGAGCGGAAACAAGATCATGCCTAGCCTGGTCAGCCAAATCTTTCCTGTGATGGTACGCACGCAACATTCTTACCGTATGACAAGGCATCCAAGATGTTCAGGAGCAAGCCCACGGCGACGGCTGGAAGGCAAGAAACAGGCTCCACCACGGCAGTCTGCCAAATGGCCTTTCGATTCCAGCTACCCGGACGGGACGCCACTTTGGCCAAGTGGACGAGGCGACGCTCTACGTTCCGGCCTTGTTCGGTGACTCCCTGTAGCCATCTTTTCCTAGCCGACGTCTTTTGTCCTTCAATGTCAATACTGCTACTGGTCCCCGATCCAAGGTCCGGTCTGTCGAGAAGAGGGGTGTACTCTGAAGCCTCCGTTTCGCTTGTCTCTGGGCGCTGTTGTATCTCATCAATGTGCGAGGACTGAGATTGTCCAGCTTCGAGGTTCTCAAACCGAGGTGGCGGGATCTTTGTTTGTTCAGATACCGAGGACGGGGGAGATGAGTTCTTGAGTAGGTTTGCGAGCGCAGAAGGTCCATCTTCCCCGGCTGCCTGATCACCCTGTTCCCTATCTTCTGGCGACGGCGGTTCAGTGACTTCGGGTATAGTGCCCGATGAACGCCGAATGCTCCCCTCGATGGAATCGGCATCTCCAAACTCTGGCCCGAAGACTTCATTAAGGGACGGTCTGCTTCTTTGGAGAAAGCTCGGGCGACGCTGAGCTGGGCCATCGGAGAGGAGGTATCGCGCCAGCTCGGCGGTGTCTTCGCGAACACTCCTCGCATTCTGCGCGCTGTCTACCGGGGCTATTCGCTTGTCAGCACCACTTGGCGTCTGGTCCGATGAGCGCGACACACTGCCTTACCCAATTGATCTCGTAGTGAGGCATGAATGAAAGAGCGAATGGGTTCCCTGTAACCTTGCGCAGATCCGACGGAGGAGGACAGCTGCTGGTGTTGGGCATTTCCGGCCTCGAGCATCGAGCTCTCAGCGTGGCTCGCTGCATCTGTGCGATCATGATGCGATTGGTCCGTCTGCGAGGTGAGGCTGGAAGCTCTCTTCCGCCACGGGGAGAATCCTAAGACTGAGGATGACATGCTTGGAGCATCCGATGGTGGAGCTCTGCCGACGAGCTAATCGGCGATGGGTATCAATCGCGAGTCGACATGAGGGTGCTGGAGACGGTTTCGGATATATTAATATAGCGATGCAAAGCGACTGGCGGTCGGGACTAGTAAGAGATGCAGCAGAGGCGGGAGCTGGAGGGGGAAAAGAATGGGCGGAACTATCATGAAGATGCAGGAGAAGAGGGAGAGACGCTGCGCTGCAGGAGATCGAGCATCATCGCGAGATAACGGCTATCAGGGAAACTTTGCGGACTCGCGGCGGCCTTGCTGAATCGAGGAATTTCCGGGGCGGTGGCGCCGACGCCGGGTCCCAGCAAATTGAGCTCTGGACCTTTTCTAGACCTTATCGCAGGCGAGATGTGCCGTATCTTCAACTTGGTCGGTTTTTCACGCTTTGCAATTGCTCTTACAGCATCGTATCGCTAAGTTGCATCACCGGACAGAAGCAGCCCAGATATGCGTGGCCGAAGGGTCCACCGTCTTCCAGCAGGCTCGATGGCGGTTCCGATGCAGATACGGAGCAATTGGCAGGTCAATGCAATGCGATCGATTTGCTCGGCTTGTGAATGGCCGCCGCTCAATCCTCCCGGCTTTAGCCTCATAGGCTGCATTAGCGGGCGGAATTCAACCAGCAATTCCTATGCATCATGCTCAGACTTTGCAGCCTCACTACTGGAGAGGTTCCAGACGATCAATCAATATTCATGCCTTAGTCTACCTGCCATGCATGGTGTTCCCGTGAGATGAAAGACGAAAGACAATGAGAATATATATAGAAACTCCAAGCATGATGTAATGTATTAACCCGAATCCAATGGCCCTCAAACACCCCGCATCCCTCACCGACCGCCTCAAGAACGGCTTGAACGTAACTTCGTAATGATCGTGACAAGCCCGGCAAGCCATCATGCTGTAACTGCAACTGTTCCCCATGGTCAATCCCAGGCCGAATGCGCGCTGAGCTCCTTGGGCCGTTGTCGTCCGAGGCCCCTCAAAGTGATGAAGCGGAACTCCCAAGATGTGTTGCTGTGTCATACTTTGACGCCGCTCCCCAGAGAGGACGTCTCATGCGATATGCATCATGGTTGCGGATGAACCTCAACTGAGCTTTTGCAGATATCCTTGTGCAATTAGCCTCTCCACGTCTCCCTGTCGGACGTAGAATTGGCTGTTCTTTGTCAAAGTGATTGCCCTGTAACCCGTTGATGAGCCTCGACGCTTTCTCCTCAATCAGCATCATATAAGAAAGTACTCACCCATATTCCGTCTGAATCTCCCCCGCGTCTTTGAGAACGCGGACATCAATGAAGAGATCTCTCGGCGGCTCCAGGCTGCCCGTCAGATCGATATCCGTCCACTGCCCCTTATACGCCGCCAGTAAATCTCCGTATTGACGCACGTAATCCTCTTCCTGCGGGCTGAGACTGCTCGTGGCTCCGTCGCCGCTCGCTACCCCAGCACTGCCTCTGGATGCACTGGCGTCTCGCACCTGCTGGCCCGACAGGTCAACGACATCGACGCCATTCCAGACGAGCTCTTCTAGCTTGTCGGTGCGGGTTCTGTGATATGCCAAAAGGCATCGCTTGTTTCTGCGCATTGAGATGTGATTCACGAGCAGTGTGTATGCGATCGCCTGGTCCTGTGACGGGTCGAACGAGCCCTGGAAAGGCTCCAGGAGATCATCGACATCCTTGTTCAGATCTCTGACTTCTCTGGTTACTGCACGCACAAGCTCAGTCTGGTAAGGAGGCAGATGCGCAAGGTTCTGAGTCCTTTTGGCGTGTTGCACCTGTGGTCACGGTGAGACGCGTTGTGGAAAGCCAGATAACGGATGAATCTTACCAGTTTGATGCCCAAGTCCCCATACATTTCCTCGAGTGCCCAGCTCGTTTGTGGTGCTCAAAGAAGCTGCAATCCTACTTTGGAATAAGATAACGTCCAGCATCTACTGTGTGCTGTGAATGTGTGATGGAGAATCCTCTACTGCTTTGTTGTTTTACTAACTGTTACATGTAGGTGTGTGTCAGTGTCTTAGGTGGAATTTCAAAGGAGGTTCAACTGCCGTTTGGCAGCCGCTAGAAGAAATCGAGAGCACGCGGCAACCCCACCAACCCCAATCGCAGGTGTTATTAAACGCCAGAGCTTTGACACACGAGAAACGCCCTCCATAACATGACCGTAGCAAGGTTCTGACAGCACCTCGTGTATAAGTTGACTTTATTTCACGCGGCAAGCAATACTGAAGCCTTTGCATCACAATAGCGCAACTCTCAGAGGCGAGAATGAGAGAATGAAAGCATGTGGTATTATTGGACATACTATTCTATATGGATTTTCTATACAGCTGCCCTACCTTTGATCGGATCAGAAAGAAAGGCCTAAATGTCGACCAAAAGCATTCTTTCACAGCCAGACTTCCGACATAAGTTGATGAAATATGAGGAGATACCTCATTCAGTAAACTAAGCAGCACGATTGTTAGCAATGTTGCTGAGGCGCGCATGATGATGAGATTCCAAGAAAAGAAAGTCATGGCGAGGAGTTCAGTGTTGCACAATGTGCTTGTTGTGTCGTCTTGCGGCGGGTCTTGAGGCCGCCTCCGAAACACGGACCAATTGTTTTCATCATAATGTCCCAGGAGTGAAGTGATGTGATGTGCGGTTTGAAGGAAATATTCTGAGGTCTTACCTGCTCTATTGACACTGAACGTTTCGGTTCCAGTGTTAGCATGTGTGCGACTGGCGATCGGTCAAGATCAGTGCCATATGCCGCAGGGCAATATTGACCAAGCTTCGTGCAACAGCAACGAGGATATCAATGACTTGATTCCTGCATTTTGGGTCAACCGCATGGGTTCTTCGTTTGGAACGAAAAATGAGGAAGAAAAAAAGTTGGCTGTGGTAGGAAGCTTATTTATTGATCAACAAAAATTGCTGGTTTATCGATACAGGATAAACATCGGCCCGGGCCCCACTGTTGCTCCAAGCTCGACGTAAGAGCTCCTGCAGCCTACGCAGTACGATGTCGCCCGCCACCAAGTCGGCACAAGCACTGAGAGAGAGTTCAATCCAAACAAGCCGCAGCTCAACGCCTTGCGAATCTCCTCCATAACTCTAACTCATTAGGCACCGTCACGGCTCGAACGGGTCCTCCACAATGCCGATTGAACCTATAATCACCTTCAAGGCCGGCCAGTGTGACGTCGACGTAAGAAACGCAGCCGCAAGATGAACCCCATCCCACTTGGCTGACATGGCCCTTGACAGACATCGTCGAAGCCATACAAGGTCACACCGCTGCCTGACCCTGGCTACATCTACCTATACTCCGAAGATGGTCAGTAACGCGAGATACCAGTCTACGATTGAGCAAGGCGATTAACACGGATAGACCTGGTGCATTTCTGCTGGCGACGACGGGACCAGCCGTTGGATGAGCCCGAACTCGACCTCGTCATGGTTCCCACAGACGGCAGCTTTCTCCCGTACGACTACAAGACATCCCCCCAGCCAACAGCAAAGACCAACGGCCGCATATTCGTCCTGAAATTCGCCTCTTCCTCCCAGCGCCACCTGTTCTGGTTGCAGTCCAAGCCTCAGGGACGTAACGGTGATCCGAGCTACTTCAGCCCTCGGGATCGCAAGATCGGCGACATTGTCCACAGACTCCTTCAGGGTGAAGAGGTTAACGTAACGCGGGAACTCGCCGCTGTTCGAAACAACAACGATCGCCAAGACGATGATGACGAGACGATGGAGGACGTCGAGGGCCACGGCCACGGGGATCACCATGCTGGAGGCAGCGGCGGAGCTGGCCCCGATGCGACGGGAGGCGACATAAGAGAGGAGGGCGAGGCACCGAGAGAAGGCGGAGCCGATGGAGCGAGAGCGTAGGTAACCCCCAATTTCTACATGGCATGATCATGAACCGGTTCGCGCAAGGTTGTCTGGTTCCTGTCATTGGTCTCTGAGAGTTGAGAACATACTTTGGCATCGAATGAAAGCCAATCTAATGTACTGAGAAACTTCCGTGTACCTTTGAACAGAGCTACGCCAAGTGATATCATGATTTCTGCCACGTGATAGAAAGAAAATGAGAGATGACGAAGCTAATTACCTTTCTAGAGCTTCGTCCTCAAACCCTGATGCCGCAGCTGCAGTAAGAAACTTTCTCGATTCGCTGAGAGGCCAGCCTGGCCTGGCTGGAGATCAGCAACAGCAGCAGCAGCAGCAGCAGGCAGATATCGCGTATCCCCATCTGAGCCACCTCCTACCGACATCCATTACGGTGCCCATGGTTGACACCCTGTCGGCCGAACAGGTGGACTCGCTTCTCAGCTTCCTACCTCCCGCAGTCATTGTGCTCGCCAGTGGCACAGCTGAGCTCGATGGCAGGGCAGATCCGACCGCCGACCAGATCAAGGCAGCCAACGAATCCTTGACGTTGGAGAAGAAGCAAGCCCTGTTGAAGAAGGTGCTTCGAAGTCCTCAGTTCCACCAGGCCTTGGGAACGTTGACGATGGCCCTTCGAGATGGAGGCCTGCCCAGCATCGCCGATGCACTTCAGGTCAAGGTTGAGAAGGACGGATACCTACAGCCTGGAATTCCCATGGGTGGTGGATATGCTGTCAAGGCCTTTATTGATGGCGTCAAGAAGACGGTCAAGGACAGCAGGCAATGATGGCCTGCCAACTGATGGTTGTTATGGCTTTATGATCCCAAAGTCTTTCTTCTCTTCTCTTTTTACCAATACATATCTTTTGGTAGCTTCTTTTAGCATATGGGTGGAACAATGCACAATAACTGAGCCATGGTCTTGTCCAACTAAATCTATACGAACAACAGCAATCGCCATTGCATGTTTGTTTTCCAAGAGTGAAGCAAACCTGAGATGAATGTCACCGGCCGGTGAGGCTGCACTTTGGTACAAGTACATGCAGGTACAGCTGGTGAAGACTGCTAGCAGTGGGGCTGTTGACGAGGTTGCAGCGCGCTAAGCCGTTGGCAGCTGCTGGTGGCACCCCAGTCTCCAGCGAGCAGTACCTTTATGTAGCATCTGCATTTCATTCAAGGTCCGGCTTCTTTTTCCCCAGAACAACTCACTCTTGTTGACATCATGCTCCGTTAGAGTTTCTGCACTTGTCACCACTCGCCTCTTCTCAGCAACAGGTAGACACGATGGACGTGCCGTTTCCGACCGACGTGCGCGAATTCGACGCCGACGAACGCATCTCCTTCTCCAAGCTCGACAACAAGTTCATCGCAGTGCATGACGATGGAACCGAGTTCGAATTCGATGCCGAGCTGAAGAAATGGGTGCCCACGGAAGAAGAGCCGCTGGAGGACGACTTAAACGACGTCAGCGACTACAGCAGAACTCCTGCGGAGAACGATGCGCTCCACCAGAAGCGAAAGCATGACGAGGAGAATGGAGACGAGGTAAGTTGGCACGACCACAGCATGAATGCTCTGTGCCTGTTCGCAGTGCCAGGACGCACCACCAGCCAGCTGCTGCCACCACAGGTATACTAACTGCATGCTCAATAGAGATCCGAATCTTCCAAGCCTGCCCGTCCCAGCAAGAAGCAGAAACCTCCGCCGCAACCCAAGCAGAACACTGCCGTCTACGTGACTGGACTCCCCGCCGACGCCACGGTCGACGAGGTCCACGAACTATTCTCTCGCAAGGCTGGCGTCATTGCCGAGGAAATTGACAGCGGGAAGCCGCGCATCAAGATGTACACAGACGCCGAAGGCAACTTCAAGGGCGATGCTCTCATTGTCTTCTTCAAGCCCCAGAGCGTCGAGATGGCCATCATGCTGCTAGACGACACCGAATTCAGATTCTTGCCCAACGGGGCGACGGAGGGAAGGATTCGAGTTCAGGCTGCCGATTCAAGCTACAAGAAGACACAGTACGACCAGGAGAGTACCGCTGAAGCGAGCAATGGAAACGGCCAGAAACGACAGCGAAACGAAAAAGATCGACAGAAAATCATCAAGAAGACACAGAAGCTTGCTGCTAAGCTTGCTGACTGGAGCGACGATGAGCCATACGTGGCGCCGGTGCCATCCAACTCGAAGCGGGACAGGACAGTTATCCTGCGGCACATGTTCACGCTGCAGGAGCTGGAGGAAGACCCCGCTGCTCTGCTGGAGATTAAGGAAGACATCAGAGACGAGTGCTCCAAGCTCGGTGTCGTCACCAGCGTGGTCCTGTACGATCTGGAGCCCGAAGGCGTGGTAGCCGTCAGGTTCAAGACCGCCGAGGCTGCCGCTGCCTGCATCCAGCTCATGCATGGACGAAGTTTTGGCGGCAACACGGTTCACGCGGCACTGGCTACTGGCGAGAAGTTTAAGAAGTCGCAGAACGAAGCCCCTGAGGACTCGGATTAAGGGAAAGGGAACCAGCGGGAAAAGGTTGCATTTCTGATCTTTCCTCGATTTTTCTTTCGAATCTTATTGTTTGTAAATTGCATCCTGGTGGCTACTCACGAAGTAGTACTGACTGATACCCCTATAAACCTAGGTTTTGATTTTCACCCGTTATTTGACGGTTTGCCTACCTGCCTCAGATACGTGCCCGCTCCCATGGTTCCAATCCGTGGCTACTAAAAGGTTTCATGCTACATATGCCATAACAGACTAAAAACAAACGCCATACGCTGTAAAAACACCTTGGGGGTCATGATATGTATTCCGAGACACGTTGGGTCGTTGAGGAGAGGTAGCAGACAGGTCTGTTGTCTCTTTTCCTTTGCTGTTCATTTCGTGTTGATGTCAAACTCTTCGGCGAGGGTGTACCAGATGGCGGCGTTGATGATTTTGCCGACAATTTCCAGCTCCATGTCATCTGCGGTATATACTGTGAGCACATCTCATACAGAATTCAACAGCTTGAGGACGAAGCATCATTCGAAGAAGAGCATCAAGATACGACAGGTTCAACAGAGAGAAAGGACTCACTTCTAGGCGCATAGATCATGACAAAATCCTGAGAGACGGGCATCTGGATGAAGCGCCCCTTCCACGCCAGCGGATGCCTCTGGCCCCAGCCCTTCTGCAGAATCTCCTTGATGTCGTCCGGGTGGAGGCACATGTGCATGGAGTGGTCAGAGTCGTGGACGTGGCAGATCTCGCCCTGGCATGTGGTCTGCAGCGGGTGCCGCGCAAAGAGAGCCAGGCCGTGCTTTTCCAGGCACGAGCGCTCGGTGCCGAACTTGGACGGGTACTTTGCGCTGAGGCGCTCCATGGCGCGGCGCAGGGCGATGTAGCACTGTCGGGAGCCGTGCTGGTCGAGCTGGCGCTGGGGAGCGATGCCGGCGACGGCAGGGCGTGGGCCGGCGCGGTAGGGCAGCTGCTGTGCGCTCAGGACGCCGGCCTTGGGTTCGCGGTTTGGATCGGGCAACGGGGCTGTGAAGGGGTCTCGGAGGGAGAGCATGCGGAGCCAGGTTATGCGGAGATAGCCCTGGATGGTGGACGGCGTGCCGCCTGGCCCGAGGCTGAGGAAGTTGCAGTAGTCATTGTGGATGAGCAGGGCGATGGGGATGAGGCTCACGACGGCCTCGGCCAGATAGGAGTCCAGGAAGTGGATGGCGAGCACCACGCCCAGGGAGACGGCGAACACGGCGGTGCCGTCTAATGTGACTGAGATGGGTTGTTGGCGGACGATGCAGGAAGCCTTGAGCAGATCTACCTCTGAGAGATGCTCCTCGGGCGGTTCGTCGTTGCGGTCAGGGATCAGAGACAAGGACGTTATTGTCTCGGTTGGAGCAATTGACATGGACATGACGACAAAAGTTATTCAGGAGAAAAATAAGTAGGTAAGGTAGAGTAGCCACAGAAGTTTAAAGTACTAGTATCAGCCAGCTTGTGCCATGCAGAACTGAGTTTTAAGCTCGAGGAGGCGTCTCAAGCAACCATGCGAGGAGTGAGGAGTTGCGGACGACTTATATGGCCCGAATGAAGGACAGATGCAGGGAAGGTCTCAACTCTGGGATTCCGGTCAGGTCAGGTCAGGTCAGGGGGTTGAAGAGACGTCCGGCGGTCGGCGGGCCACCCCTCTAGATATGTTGTGGCGGCTGATAGTCTAGGGTTTATTCTTGTCGAGATGCATTCAATGGGGGGGGGGGGGGGGGGGGGGGGGGGGGGGGGGGGGGGGGGGGGGGGCTTTGTTCCCGGCAGGTTGGGTGAGGAGGGCTTTGTTGCACGTTTAGGGTTCCCGCAGATATGGGGGGAGGGATGAGGACTGGGTTTAAAGCCAATGGACCAAACGGCTAAAGGCCATTGAAGAAGAGGCTCCAGTTTGTTTAGGCGGTGGCTGAGAATTGGCGAGGGCCATCTGCATCATATCACGTTCCACGAGGCAAGGGGAACTTGACTCTCGTTGCTGATCCCGGCAGATCACGAGGAGGATGACTGTAATGAGCCTTATGACGTTGGGCTGATGTCGGTTTTGGAGGACGATGGCAGTTCAAGCTTCCATCCGCTGCTACCAGTATGTACAGGTACTACAACTAAACTGGGGCAACACTAATCGGGCAACTTCTTCTTTTACCTTCTGGCCTTACTAAGGGTCGTATTGCATTTTCGCAAGCGATGAGCCGAGGAAGTCGATGGCTTCATGTTGCCATCACTGACTAAGAGATCGCGATACGCTTCAAGCTTTCCATCACTGGCTCCAGGAGGCGGAGGAGCCAGAGCAGATCAACCCCGGTTTTCCGCATCTCGCTACCTAGCAGAATCCACCCAGTGACACAACAACGGTCCCAGTTCCGCCCTCCGGCCTCCGGCTTCTCTCAAATTGTGGGCGTTGAAGGTAACAAAAGAGACAAGAACCGTTTTGCCGTTGAAGAAAAAAAAAACGTACGAGTAAACTTCTTAAGATCTTACAAGTCACAGGCTAACTACCGACAGAGAGCCAAGTGGCGCACGACTCCGCAGTTTAACATACCGAAAAGGCCGATCCCGATGAGCCCTTGGGAGCAAAAAGGTGTTTCTTTCTCTCGGGTCATGCGTACGTTTTCCTGCTTTGGATCATGTTACTGGATGCGGAAACGGGCGATTGCAAACTCACAAGGGCTCATTGGCTGCGCGGGATAAGGGATTCATGTATGTTGCATGTAAGGGAAGGGGGGGAGGAGGCTGGCTGCTCACCGATAGAATACAGCTGTTCAGTTGAGCTCGCTATCTCGTCGACTCCGCTAAATGTGACGAGGGACGGTGTTCCGGGCTTCACAAAATCTGAGCTGTAATTAAGGTATAAGATAGAGGGGCCTGGACCGTCGTGAAGCTGCGGAATGTGGGCATATTCTTCGATGATAGTATCTATTTCAAGACCCTCGACTGGGGATGATGGCGGCTGCAATAAGCCGCGCTATCGAGGTTAGAGCTTGTGACTATTTCATTCTTATAAAGTCCGGTCTCCGAGTAATTCTCCCAGGGAGTCTGAGCCATGATACGAGTTGGCTGGGCGCACTGGGCGGCAGACTCCGAACCCGCACGCTGCGTATCGAGATGGATCAACGGTTTCATGCACGATCTATCCAGGGTAGCACTGCCTTGTCCCCACGGCTGGAGGCTCCGAGTCAAGCAGAGAAGGCAATTGTTTGAGGTGGTTGTGGCTGGATTGAACATTGAGGCCCAGCAAGGTGATCAAGGTTCGACGACGTCTTGAACTACTGGATGAAGGCCCAGAATCCATATTCGAACCAGAACTGCCCATGATTACCTTACCGTACAGAGAGAGAGATTGTAAGGTTGAAACGAGATCAGATGCCTTCTCACAGCTCCGCTTAGGTAAGGCTTGGGCGCTTATTGAACTCGTTGCCCAGCAACCCAACATCCGCCATGCCATTCGCCGCTGCCAAGCTCAATCAGCTCAACAACTGACAAGGGCCACGACGACTTTTGTTGCTTTTCTTCTTATCTTGAAGCTGGCGCGAATACCCCCATGCATTCGTCTACCCGGGAATCTAACGAATGATGATGCCTCAAGAATAGCCGATTTGCTTGTTTACTGCATTGACACATACAGACGGCGCCACTGCTCGTCGCTGCACGAGCCGGAGTGCGGCTGCTTTACATCAGTACTTTGCGCGAAACAAGACAAACACTCACTGGTATGAGACAAGGCTGAGAACGCTTCATTCCATCACCATATCGCTAACACGTACCGTGCGTGCTCGGCGACACAGACATCGAACCTCGATGCGGCTCTCAAACCCGGTGCGGCGGTCCCGCGACACGCGGCTGCCAATGTACCACAACCCGAACTCGGCCACGAAAGAGCGCTCCTCCAACGATGGCTACTACTCTTCCTCCGATGGCGATTCGGAGGCATCCTTCTCAGCTCCATCCTCTGAAGGCTCAAGAAACGTCTCCGAGTCGTATCCCGCGCGGCCCTTGCTTGTCCCCAAGAGGAATCAGAGACCGACTCCTCAGCGATCGGCCAGTTTCTATCCATACAGATTACCGCCAAGAATCATTCGCTACGTCGTCTTTGTGGTGGTTGGGCTGATTATTCTTATGATTATCAGTCTGGTACGGGCAAGTCAAGTGGAAAACTGGAAGGTCGCCAATGGCCAGGTGAACAGTCGACCGGCGCCTCCTCCGCTGTGGGAGAAGTTCCCTTTCCTCGAGAGATACTATGGCGGCATACGCACCTTGGTTCCCCTGGAGGAGAACAAGCCCGAGTATCCCAAGTCCGGCGAGTCCACACCATCAAGCCCTGCATCACCTGCTCACGGTGCTTCGGAAAGCAAGGTTGAGGATCGCGAAAAGGCTTTTCCTGTCAGCCACTCTTGGGACGACTACCATGGGCGGACCAATGACTCTGGCATCAAAGAGTGCTTCCTTGATGCTGCAGGCAAGATCCGTCCACCTCCCCTTCGATACTACAATGGCCGACCAAGCGGATTCCCGCTCCACGTCACCGGCTCTTATGAAGTCCTCAGTCTGCCCGAAGACGTCTGCTTTGAGAGATACGGCAAGTTTGGCCCATATGGGTTTGGGTATTCCATCCGCACTGGTGGCCTGGGCACGGGTGAAAACGGCGAGAAAGAAGGCGCAGAATCTGTTTGGGGCTCTGGCTCTCGAGTGGATTATCGCGAGATTGACTGGGCGGATGTTCAGCGACGCTGCTTCCAGGCCAACGTTGGTCGATACAAGGAGTTGCCGGCGAAAACGCCATCTCCCCAGGGCTTCTACGTCGGGAGCTTGAAGGCGGCAAAAGTCCAATCGCGAGACTCTCAATCGAAAGACAACGACAAGACAGCGGCTGCGGCTGATTCCGCGTCGGGTAAAGAGATGGCCAAGCAATCACGAACCGCCGTTGTGATCAGATGCTGGGATGAGTATGTGTTCCGCGAAGATGATTTTGCAAACCTTCGATCGATGATCTCTGAGCTTTCGCTGGCTTCCGGGGGCCGATACGACGTTCACCTGCTGGTGCAAGTAAAGAATGATGCAAAGCATCCTGTCTGGGCCGACCATGACATTTACGAGCAGCGGATTCGAGACGCGATTCCGAAAGAGTTCCAGGGGCTGGTCACCCTTTGGACCGAAACGCAAATGCTCTCGCTGTACCAAGGCATATACGACTTGTTCAGCCGTGGCCCAGAGCTCCCGGTGCATGGAGTTTACCGTGGACTCACCATGGCCATGCAGCACTTTGCATACCTGCACCCCGAATACGACTACTTTTGGCAGTGGGAAATGGACATTCGCTACACCGGACACTACTACGACCTGCTCTCCAAGCTCGAGAACTGGTCCAGGGCTCAGCCGCGAAAGGGGCTGTGGGAACGGAACGCACGATACTACTTTCCCCATGTTCACGGCACGTGGGAAGACTTTTCGCAGATGGCACGAGTGCAGAGCGAAATGGGTACTCCTGGGGCTGACAATGTATGGAAGAACGTGCCCGGCCTCGACGGCCAACCTCCGGAGGCGGCCGCCAAGAAGAAGATCAAGACCGTCTGGGGTCCTATCCGCCCTGCCGATAATAACGACTGGTTCGAGGCCGAAAAGGACCCCAGACCGCCATCTTCGTACGATTCTGACCACTACCAATGGGGCGTTGGCGAGGAGGCGGACTTGATCACTCTGAACCCCATCTTCGACCCTGAGGGCACCACATGGGGCCTGAAGGACGACATTACAGGCTACAACCGCTCTCTCCCCTATCCTCCTCGGCGAGCCAGCATCATCACCACGTCTCGGATGTCAAGGCGCCTTCTCATGACCATGCACAGGATGACGGCGCACAAGAAGCAGTTTGCCTTTCCCGAGATGTGGCCCGCCACAGTTGCTCTTCAGCACGGATACAAGGCCGTCTACGCGCCACATCCGGTATACGTGGACCGCAGCTGGCCGGTTGACTACATGGCTCAGACGTTCAATGGCGGCCGCGACGGGACGACTGGCGGAGCGAGGACGAGTCTCTACGGCGAGCGGGAACACAACCTCAAGGGCCTGACATGGTTCTACAATTCCGGGTTCGGTCCCAACCTGTACAGACGCTGGCTGGGTCTGAAGGTGAACAATGACGGCGGAGAGGAGTTCGAGAAGACGCAGGACAAGAGCCGAGCTGGCTCTGGAGTATCAGCCATGGCTGGGGGCGAGGGCCGCATGTGCCTTCCCCCCATGCTCCTCCATCCTGTCAAGGAGGTGGACGTTCCCGTCGAGGTTCCTCCTCCGGAGGAGGAAGAATTGACAGTTCCCGAATCGGATCCTGATGCATGATGGCCTTGAGGGGCTTGTTCTACAATGATCTTTCTGCTTTTTATCTTATCTATTTTTACTGGATGACTTTTCGAGCATTGGGCGTGGTGGCTGATTCTTGGATTTTCTTTCCCCTTTCTTCTTTAGACTTGTTGCTGATTGGGTACGAAGTGCATGGCATGAAAGTCGCGATGATAGAGATACCCATGTAATATGTTGGGATGTTATAATGCGTGCGATACGATGTAATCCTCCGGTTGATACTGGGAGATGATGAATTGAACGTGGTACATATTGGATTGTTACAATTATCAGATGAGTCGTGAAGTGCTTTGCCATTGGCGCAAGCTGGCGGTGTTGCCAGACGAAAGACTAGGTATAACGTCAAGAGCTTTGTTTGTATTGTGATTCATCAAGTGGATATGGAGAGCATTATGACTTATGCTCTTGGTCTTCCATTTTTTGGTTCGTGCCATGTTGTCCTCTGTTCCAAGTATGGCTCTCCCCTCCTCATCCCTCACGCCTGATATTCTGATATTGCCCCCCTTTTATGCTAATTCAAAGTGTAATCGCTCGCCAACAATCGATTCCTTTCCTGTCTCAGCGCAACCCCCGCCCCCAAATCTCTCTTCAATAATGCCAGTGTCGTCTACTGTCGTAGAGAAGTTGTAGCGGGTGGTAAACTTATCTCAGACCACGCGCTTGACCTCGAAGAAGCGCCGCAGCCACCAGACCTGGAAGAGGGACTCGCCGATGACGATGCCAATGACGAAGAGGTTCCACCACTTGACGCGGGAGTTTGTGCTCTCGGCGGTGTTGCGGTGGGTGCGCTCGCGGACGATGATGTACTGCTGCTCGTCCTTGATTTGGGCGAGGAGCTCCGACATTCTACGGACTGGATGTTTGCAAAAACGAACGGATGTTAGCCCAGACTTATTCATTTTCCCCCCTTCCCCCAAGTTTTGCTGGTTTTTTGTGTATGAATGTAAAAAAAAGAGTAGTACCTTCGGACTCGAGGGGATCGCTAGGGCTGTCGGACTCGCTGACGTAGACGATGCCGTGGACGTTGAAGGAGACCTCCTTTGTGTTGGAGACCCAGTGCTGGTTGCCGAAGCAGTAGGTGTATTTGCCGTCGTGGACGGCCGTGAAGGAGTGGTCGCCGTTGGAGACTGTGCGCTCGTTGATCTGGTACTCGCCAACGGGGTTCATGATCTGTCCATTTCAACAATTTTGGTGTGTTAGCAAGCTGGAACCAGCCAAGGGTCCTCGACATCATGTTAATGGTCCTTTCCCCCTTCTGCCTACAAGGCATCCATCCATTTGTATCCCCGAGTGAGTCATACCCAAAAGTCAATGTCGAGGTTGCCTGCGCTCCCAAACTCGCGGTCGCCGACCTGGAACGTGACGGTCATCTTGTCGTCCCTGTGCAGGCTCTCGTGGAAGCACTCGACGCCGCGGGCCGGCAGGACGATGTTGTGCGCCGCGACGGCCTGGAAAGCCGCGGCGGCGGCGAGGAGCGTCCTCGCAGCTGAGAGGAGAAGCATTGTCGAAGTAAAAAGCAAAAAAGAAATCAATTAATTGGCTGGATCTGCGGGAGGAAGGCGGCAAAAGGAGGAGGACAACAGAAACGACGACAAGGGACAAGGCTGCAAGTTTGGCGATTTTCGAGATCGCGAATTGACCACCTTGGCCAACATTCATTCAGCCCACTGGCCACAGCTACTACTAGGTACTGACCCTGGCTCGCCCTTGCGAACCCAATGCTTGCAACGCAGAGTCCTGGCTACACAGGCTGCATGGGCCGCGGTTTTACCGACAAGGCCTCAGGGGCACGAGAGTATCGAGATACAGCCGCGATACTTGTGGCTGCTGTGGTCGAGGGATGACGAATAGCGGGTCGTTTGGGCGGGTGGAGGCACTGGAGCAGCGCTTTCTCGGGGCGACTTCTGGGGCAGGACTGGACGAACGAACGACGGGCTGCGAGGATGTACCGTGCGCGTACCGCCGGGGCGGCGATAAGGCAGCGAGGCAGGGCGGGCTGGTAGCGGCGAATCTGGGCAGCAACGTGCGGGCAGTACCCTGTACCTGCGAGGCTGCGCGCCGTATCGAGTGGCTCGTACCGCCTACTAACGTGCATCCCTTGCAGCGCTGTCCCCCTGTAGCCTGTGCTCTGAATCAGCCCAACCAGGCCTGTACCGTGAGAGTTTACAGTGCAGCAGTTCCCTTCCCTCGCCCTCTGGACAGTTATCAGCTGCGCTGCAGTCAAGTGTCCAGTCAACGCCCGCCCCTTGTTGCCCCTCTCCCCTACTAAAAAGCCTTAGTCGCTTTGGCCTGCAAAAGCCAGCCCGGCCAGGTCGATTCCCTTCCATTCTTCCCACCCCGATCTCCCCAGGCAATCTCACCGACACAAAACCCTCCCAAGACACACGCCTCCGTCCGTCTCGTGTGCCAAACCCGCGAATCGCCTCAAGGTGAGTTTGTTCCCAGCCAGCCTCCCCAAGATTCTCCTTGTTGTCCGCCTCCCTCTGCCCCGTTGCGCGTCTTCGCCGTGGCGCCCGATTCATGCCAGAGTCGCCTCTTTTTTTTGCGTTTTCCTTGTCTCCTCTCCTCCCCCAGGGGATGGCGCTAGCGAGAGAAAGAGACAGCTCAGCGAAAATGCGAAAATGCGGCAGCCTGGCCACTTCTCTTGACGGCCTCGTGCCCATGCCCGTCCGGCAGCTTCACCCCGGGCCCGGATACGGTGTCCTCAAGCATCTCACCGGCACGCATCGCTTGCCTCGCGCGAGATAAATAGAGGCGTCTTCCGGGAGGGCTCTTCGTTTGGCCGGGCTGCTGCTGGGCTATGCAGAGGTGGCTTCAATTGCGTATTCCTGCTGCACTACCCCAAAATCTCGTTCACGCCATTGTCGCTCCATTCTACAATCTCCTGCCACGCCACCTTGTCCTTTCTATCGAAGAAAACGTCATCTCCATCTTTCCTCATCTTCAACTTGGCGTCAAGACAAGCCTTGCTTACGCGTAACTTCAAAACAGGACACTTTTCCCTTTCCTCCATCCAAGCAACACATTCGAACGCTTGTTAGGCCGCGCCGCCACCAGTCGCAACCATGGGTCTGGCTTTTTCCAAGATTTTCGACAAGCTATGGGGGAAGAAGGAGATGCGAATTCTCATGGTCGGTCTCGATGCCGCCGGTAAAACCACCATTCTGTACAAGCTGAAGCTTGGTGAAATCGTCACCACCATCCCCACCATTGGTATGGGCTCCTCCATCCCCCCCGCGCTCGGCCCCCCTCCCGCCGTTCGCTCAGAGCGTCCCGTCTAACACCCCGCTGCTTAGGCTTCAACGTCGAGACCGTTGAGTACAAGAACATCCAGTTCACCGTGTGGGATGTCGGTGGTCAGGACAAGATCCGTCCTCTGTGGAGGCACTACTTCCAGAACACCCAGGGCATCATCTTCGTCGTCGACAGCAACGATCGGGATCGTATCGTCGAGGCCCGAGAGGAACTCCAGCGCATGCTGAACGAGGATGAGCTGCGAGATGCCATCCTGCTCGTCTTTGCCAACAAGCAGGATCTGCCCGTATGTCGACCCCTCCTTTGACTTTCCTATCCAGAACTGCTCCCATGAATTGCGTTCCATCACTATGGGCGGGTTCATTCTTTTCCTTTTTCATCTTTGGGATCAATTGCTGATATGAATCATCTCTAGAACGCCATGAACGCTGCCGAGATCACTGACAAGCTCGGCCTCCACAGCCTGAGACAACGTGCCTGGGTAGGTAGCATCTCTCCAGATGGAGCGATGGCAAAGCCCGCTAACATGCGTTCCTACAGTACATCCAGTCGACTTGTGCCACATCCGGAGATGGTCTGTACGAGGGTCTCGAATGGCTCGCCACCACTCTCCGAAAGGCTGGCCACCAGTAAACGACAAAAAAACCAACAAAGACCCTCTACCGGTAGAGCCTCCCGCTCTCCACCCCGCTTCCCTACCGCATACTCCCGCAAAGTTGTTGCCGAGCTCGAGAATCCGGTTGTAATTTGCAAAGTTATATCGATCATACCAATCAATCTTAATCCATAAACTGTGTCAACTCTTTGTTTCTTCAAAGTGCATTGCAGCCCCATGCGCTCTCACATGCCACTCGCCGTGTGCCTGTTGATCATATACATACCCTGACCATGTTTCCAATTGGAAGGGGCAGGATCTAGCTCTTGGAAAGGAAACAGGTCATGGGAGCTTATCCAGAAGGTCTCGTTGGGGATTCATCTCAACATGGAGAAGTCAGAGCTGTGGATAACCTGGGTGATCGTTGCCTACTTACACGCTTCACAGCCGTTCTCGTGCGCTCAAACCGGCTTGAAACGGAAAGATGAATACTAGAAAAAAAAGGTAAAAGGAGGATTGTGGAAGGAAGGACAAGAAGTGGCAAAATTGACAAGAATCAGGAGAGTAATGTGCTTAGGGAGGTTGCGAGAGGAGGGGGGCTTCTTGTTATCACGACTGGTGCCTTTCGGGGCTTCATGCTGTTTTTTCTCTCATGACGGATGCGTCTTATGTTGTGTTTCTTCTCTCCTTCAAAATGGATCTGTCTGTTTCGGCTCATTGCGCTAGATTGGCGGAGTTGGGTTGTTCTCGATTGAAAGGCCTCCCGGCTGGGAAATGGATCGTAGCGGATTGGACGACGAGATGGGGGGTGTGAGGATTGACGGGATTGATGATGAGTTGTTTTGCTACGCCCTTTTTTTCAATTATTACTATTTTTATATTTTTATCACTTCCGCTTTTGTCTGATGTTGATGAATGTGATATGTATGTATGGATTGACGTATTGTTGATGATGACTCTTGGTTCCATGGAGAGGAACCGAGGCAGATTATTGAGCACGTGTGTACCTGGAGGCATGGATGAAGTTCTATATAGCGAAGCGGCACTATTGCATGCGATCAGGCGGCTCAAATCTATCAAATGATATTCAAGCAAGGGGTTGATAGAGAGAGAAGCCAGGAGAAGAACCTTGAAAGAGGAGAAAGAGGAGAGGAAGCCATCAGAAAACGATGGAAGAATCATCGAGATGATACATGGCACGAGTTACCTTATCTGATCTGTTCTCATGGTGGGCAAAAATCACATGCCAAGTTATTATTAACGAAAATGAGAGAAGAAAAAAAACACGCAGAAATTTTGCGAGGGGGAAAAAAAAGGGTGCAAAAAAATTGAAGGCACGTTAGGTTCCAGAGGGAGTCGAACCCTCGCTGGCGGAATCAGAATCCGCAGTCATAACCGTTAGACCATGGAACCGGGTTTTTTTGTTGAAGTGGTTAGCCACTTCCCATGGATTGCTGGGAGGGGCTACGCTAATTATCCTTATGGGACTTTTCTACAGATACGCCGCGAGACTTCTTCCTTGACAACGATATGGATATAGATGAGAGACGGGTGAAGATGTTTCTTCCTGATCAATTGTTTTTGATTCATTACTCATTACCCGTTGAATATTTAGAAGAACATTTGAATCTTCCTTTCATATTCAAAGCGGGGTATCAGCTATTTACATGCGCTTTTCCGAGGGGAGTCTGTACACCCATTCATTATACAAGTCCATTCTCTTTCTCCTCACAATCATATCCAGTTCATGAGGCCCAAACTCCAGAGGATACTAATACAGATAAAAAGTCCGTACATTCATGAAATGCATATAAAAATGTCAACCGCCATCACTCATTGCAAATTTCAGGCATTCTCAGAGACATTCACAATCTCCAGTCCCTCCTTGTCGTCGCTCAACTTGACCTCCGCCGTCTGTCCCATCTTGAGCTCGCCCCTGATAATCTTGTCAGCAAGATTGTTGCTGATCTCGTTCGTAATCAGCCTGTTCAGCGGACGGGCTCCAAACTTGGGGTCGTAGCCTCGCTCCGCCAGCCAGTCCTTGACGGCATCCGACACGGACAGCGTGATGCGTCGGTCATCCAGGCGCTGCTGCAGCTCCTTGAGGCGGATGTCGACGATTTCGCGAATGGCCGTCTTGGCCAGCCGCTTGAAGATGATGAAGGAGTCGATGCGGTTGAGGAACTCTGGCGGGTAAGCGGATGCGACCACATCCATGACTGCCTGGCGAACAGACGGATCAATGTCGCCGTTGGCGTCCTCCTTGTACGGGTGAAGGTGGTTCTGGCCCACGAGGATGTCCGCTCCCAGGTTGGAGGTGAGAACGATGATGGTGTTCTTGAAATCAACCTTGTGGCCCTGGGCGTCTGTGAGGTAACCCTCGTCAAGGACCTGGAGAAGCAGAGCAGAAATGTCCCGGTGTGCCTTTTCGAACTCGTCGAACAAGAGGACGGCATACGGCTTGCGACGCACCGCTTCCGTCAGCTGCCCAGCGTCTTCGTATCCAACATAGCCGGACGGAGCGCCGATGAGGCGAGAGATGGTGTGTTTCTCCTGGAATTCCGACATGTCGAACCGAACGACGGCGGATTCGGTCGAGAAGAGGAAGCTGGCCAGCTTCTTGCAAAGCTCAGTCTTGCCAACACCAGTCGGTCCGAGGAAGAAGAAGGAAGCCAAGGGGCGGTTCTCGCCGCTGAGGCCAGCTCGCTGAAGCCGCACGGCGTTGGAGACGGCCTTGATGGCGTCGTCTTGTCCCTTGACCGACTCCCGCAGAATGTCCTCCATGTGAACCAACTTTTCGATATGTCCCGAGGTGAGCTTCGAGACAGGGATGCCGGTGATGCGAGATACGACATTGGCAATGTCGTCGGCGGTCACTGCGTCGTGGATGAGAGTGCTATCGCTCTGGTCTTGCTGGATCTCCTTGTCAGACGGCAGTTTCCGCTCCAGATCGGGAATGACACCGAACCGAAGCTCAGAGGCCCTGGCAAAGTTGCCGCTCCTCTGCGCTTGTTCGAGCTCGAACCTGGCCTTGTCCAGGTCCTCCTGCACCTTCTTGACGGACTCGATTTCTGACCTTTCCTTCTCCCATCTTGCGTTGAGTTCTGAAAGTTCGTCGTTATACTTCTTAAGATCCTGTTCCAGCTTTTCTCTGCGCTCTTTGCTCGCAATGTCTGTTTCTTTGCGTAGACTCTCCAGTTCAATCTGAATAGTCATAATCTTGTGATCAAGCTTCATAATCTCTTCGGGTTTGCTTTCGTGCTGGAGTTTTAAATGACTCGCGGCTTCGTCCATCAAATCAATGGCCTTATCCGGGAGGAATCGATCCGTGATGTATCGGTTCGACAGGGACGCGGCAGCTACCAGGGCGCCATCCGTGATCCGTACACCGTGGTGAACCTCGTACTTGTCCTTGATACCTCGCAGGATGCTGATGGTGTCTTCTACGGAGGGCTCGCTAACAATGATGGGCTGGAAACGTCTGGCGAGCGCCACGTCTTTTTCAATGACACGATATTCAGCGAGGGTGGTCGCACCGCAGCACTGCAGTTCACCACGGGCCAGTGCCGGCTTGAGCAGGTTGGAGGCATCAATGGAGCCCTCGGCCTTGCCCAGTCCCAGCAGGGTGTGTAGTTCGTCGATGAAGAGGATCACCTGGCCTTCAGCCTTCTGGACTTCGTCCAGCACCTTTTTCAGACGCTCCTCGAAGTCGCCTCGGAACTTGGCTCCGGCAATCAGCGAACCCAGATCCAAAGAGATGACTCGCTTGTTCTTGACGCTCTCGGGGACATCTCCCCGCACGATGCGCAATGCGAGTCCTTCCAGGATGGCCGTCTTGCCAGTTCCCGCATTTCCGATGAGCACCGGGTTGTTCTTTGTCCGCCGAGACAGAATCTGAATCGTACGCTGGATCTCCGCGTCTCGCCCAATTACGGGGTCCAGCTTACCCTCCCGAGCCTTGGCTGTCAAGTCCACGCCATACTGTTCCAGCGCGGGCTTCTCCTGTTCACCTCCTCCCATGTTCATCCGATGGGTTCCTCCTGGTGGGTTTGGACGTCCATTGGCGTACGTCCTTACTAGTGAGATGGGGAGGAGGCGGGCTGAGGGGGCTGCTGAAAGGAGGAGAGGTTTGAGAGCTGATCGTGCAATGGCTGGTCTTGTGAGTCTGTTGGAGGAGGCACCAGCAAGGCGCTGGGCCGAGGATAATACTTGTCGTCTTGTGGCTTGCATTGTAAGTGAAATGAGCGGAATGAAGGATGAAGAAGAGTATCGTAAGAAGAATCAGGAGATGAATTAGACGTAAAAGAGAGTTTCGCTAGCTAAATATATGAAAGAGACAGAAGGAATTAGACTTCAAAGTCAGTGGCGTCACCGGCCACTTTGTATCCGCAGACCGAAGCTCTTATCGTAGCTTCACGAACTGCGACAGCACTTTCGAGCACTTTCGGCCGCCATCGGCAATTGAGGCGCTAGTAGTAAATGGCTTTGCCAAATGCTTATCTTATCAGCACGTGCGCTGAGCCCCATGTCCCACCAACAGGCCGACACGGCGGGTACGTACCGCGGCCGCAAGCGGTTTAGTGCCAGAGGGTTCACATTTTGCTTCCCACAAACTCGCTAGCGGCGCTCACAAAGAAATCCAACATTTCCGTTCGGGTGAACATCACGAACGTGTCTTCTCTCATCCTCTCCACACCCCATATCCAGACACCCGAGAGAGTCAACATGTCGGCCAAGCCCACGACCAAGCAGTTCGGCAAGTCGACCCGGGAGGTGCCCGCCTCCGCGGACAAGGCCAAGAAGTGGTACCCTGCCGACGACGACAGCGAGCCGAAGAAGGTGAGTTTGTGCGGTGATGCAGTCGCGAAAGCAAATCAACAGAGAGAAGCCCCCCCGGTACAGGAGTCTGCATTCGCAAATTGAGAACGACGAGGCAATTGGAGGTGGGAGGAAACCGAGTTTGGTGATCGACTGGAAACGCCGGATATATGGTTTGGTAGAGTCACGGGAAGACTTGGAGACGCTTGGTCTATCATTGTTCATCTTCAAACCGGCGATGAGCAAAGATGTATATTCACTATCCAAAACGACAACTGCGACGCCTCCCAATTTGCGAAACACAGACTCCGACACCCGGTGGCTTCTCTATATCCAACCCTTCACACATTTCGCGACAAACCCTCCGATATCTCTCCCCATGGAGAGAACCAAGAACGAGTCGCGCTAACACGTCTCGAAACCACAGGTCCGCAAGGCCGTCCGCTCTTGGGCCCCCCGAAAGACCCTCCAGCCCGGCACCGTCCTGATCCTCCTGGCCGGCCGCTTCCGCGGCAAGCGCGTCGTCCTCCTCAAGACTCTCGACCAGGGTGTCCTCCTCGTCACCGGCCCCTTCAAGATCAACGGCGTCCCCCTGCGAAGAGTCAACTCCCGATACGTCATCGCCACCTCCTACAAGGTCGACATCTCCGGCCTTGACGCCGCCAAGATCGAGGAGATCTCCCAGCCCAAGTACTTCACCGCCGAGAAGGCCAAGGAGAAGGCCTCTGCTGAGGCTTTCTTCAAGCAGGGAGAGAAGCCCCAGGTATGTACAACAAAAAAGCAAAAAGAGCGAGGACGAGTGGAACTACAGGGGAAGAGAGGAAAGAAAGAAAGAAAGAAAGAGAAGAGCGTGGGATTTGCTAACGGAGTGTTTCAACTTGCAGAAGAAGGAGATCAACAGCAGCCGTGCTGCCGACCAGAAGGCCGTCGACAAGGCTCTGATTGCCAGCATCAAGAAGGTGGATCTGTTGGCCAGCTACCTCGCCAGCACCTTCAGCCTGCGGAAGGGTGACAAGCCCCACGAGATGGCGTGGTAAATCTTTTTTTCTTCGTCAAAAAAAGGGAAACACACAAAATCTCGGGTAGGCTTGGAAGAGTGAAAGCGGATGGGGGGTGGATGGGAGTTCAACTATGGTGCTGGTCAAGATGCGGGTTGTAGAACGGAAAGGGTCTCCGAAATGGGCTGGTTTGGCCAATTGCATTTGGAAGTCGACGGCATCGGTCACATCTTGGCGTCTGTAATCAGGTTTTTACAGTCAAAAAACAAAAACGAGCATAAATGATTTTCTTCCACCAGGTGTCCGGCAAAACAAAAAGTTCCGTGAATCATACAATCTTCCATTTTTTATCCACACTCATGCGTGACAACGATGGCAAGGCAAGCCTATAGAGCGAAGAGCCTCGCTGGAGAAGCCGTATATATGCCAAGCTTCTTATATCATACATATCCTAGACTACTTCTGGCGTCTTGAAACTTTCTGGGTGATGGGTTGAGAAATGTAAAATGCTGTGGCTCCTAACAAACAAAGTAATACTGGGTAATAAGGTAGGCCGAAGAACGCGGGCACAAAAGTTTACACTAGTAATGAGACCCGTATCACTTCAAGTAAGATGCCTCTGCTCCTTAAAAAGGGTATCTGTATAGTTTGAATGTAATGCAATGTTTTCTTTCGGGGGCATTTCGCTTATGCTGGATATGGGGATTCACCACACTTTCTTTACAAGTTCCTGTCGGCCCAGCTCTGGATCATTCCCAGAAGCGAAGCGTCGTAATGCTTGATCGACACAGAGTTCGTGGCTTCATCCAGGGTAGTGTTGGCTTGGACAAAGACCTTGCGTGGCTGCTTGTTATCAAGAACCACCTTGCGGACCTTTGTGCCCCAGAAGTCCAACCCAACGGTGCTCATGTCGGTGTAAAAGTTGGTGCCGGTCTCCACGTCGGCAGTTGACTTGTAAACGTGAAGCTTCTGAAGGTATTTGGCAACGGCTAAAATAATGTTTAGCGGCACGATCATGGTGCGGAGCAACTGCGAAACTTACCGTCGCGGCCAGCTGTGAGAATCTTGGATCTGTCCAGTTTAATGGTCAAATCAGAGAGGTCATCCTTGGTGTAGTCCAATTTGCAGAAGTCGTCGCCGGCCTCGAGGAAAGACTTGAGAATGGAGAAGCGAGCCTGGCTGTGTGCCTGTCCCCATTTCTGGCTCTTGGGATCCCACATCTCCAGAGAAGCAAGACCGGCGCGGGCCATGGATAGGTAAGATGCGTAGAGGACGTCTCCAGCGGGACCATTGATGTCTTCTGTTCCGTCTCCAAATCCGAAAATCTTTAGGACCGGGAACTCGCAGCTCAAGTGCATAGCAACCAATTCTGCACGGCATTCCTCGTACGAGGCGGCAATGGGTCCAAATACCGAACTCCATGTCTGGCCAGGCTTGTACCAAGTGCTGATAGGCTTTTGCGTAACAGGGCTAACGGGAGGATTCTCCTTGTCGAAGTTGTAAACTCCGGGAGAGGTTTCCTGCAGGAGCTTACCGCATCCGTGGCCTGAGGAAATGGTCAGGATAACCTGTATAGTATCTTGGAAGAGGAAAGTCCTTACCAGTAAGCTCGTGAAGACCAACTTGGACCTCAAAGGCAGCATCCCGGTTGGCCTGGTACACGGCCAGATCTTCTTCGCGAATGAAAGGAATCTTCTCATTCGGCGCCTTGGCGCTGAGGACATTTCCAAGGGACACATTCTTGAAGCCTTCAGTCTGTCGAATGTCGTCGTAGTTGGGGCTGAACAATGTCAGTGGTAGAAGGGAAGGCTGGGACAAATATTATGCTCACATGTTGATGCCAGCGGGGATGCCGGAGTCTGGAGAAGATTGTTAGCATGACCAACATCACAGAGTCCCGTAGCGATACTGACTTGCAAATGTCAATACTTCTAGTGAAGTAAAGTCGGGAGAAAGGAACTTGTCCTTCTCAAACTCCTTACCCCAGGGGAGCAAGGGAATGAGAGAAGGCGAGGCAGAAACCAGCTCTCCGAAAGCACGGGTGCGTTCCTCTGCCGGTCATGTCAGCTGGACAATCCCCTACATTACGCAGGAAAAGGAAGAGATTCAGAGACATACGGTTGACCACTATTAGAAAACGTTAGCTTGCTGTACAGTGAGAAACCGACATGGGTTATACTAACTGGAAGCGAAACCCTCCCATTCACCACGAACACCGGCAGGGTCACGGTACGTCTCAATAAAGCCAATGTTGCATTCGACGCTGGGGCCCTTGTCCTTGATCCACCAACGCTGGCTGTCCTTGAACGCCTCCAGGGATCCCGTCTCGAACGACTTGGCGTACGCCAAGTGCATGTTCTTCTGGTTCTCGTTATCCGCATTGGCCGCAGCCTGCTTGATATAGGCAGTGATGTTCTTCATCTCTTCAGAATGGTCGCCGTAGACAAGTCTGATGGTCTTGCCCTTCAGGGGACCATTCTCAACAGTGAATTCGGTCTCCTTTCCAATGTCACCTCCCTCGGGGAGGACGCTCGTGACGGCGGAAGCAATGAGGATGTCAAAGCCATCGGCCGTCTTGCGTAACCTGGTGTTTTCGGGCAAGAGTCTCTTCTCCTCCATCCAAGTCGAGACGGCTTCAATCTCACTCTTGGTAATGTCCTTTGAGTCGGGGTAGTAAGTCGTCATGTGGCCGGCGTCGAGGAACCCAAGGTGCATGGCAGCCGGGTCGTCATGGCTGAAGATGGCGCCCTTGGTGGCATCGTAGAACTTTTGGGCCTCGGGGGACGTGGCGGCCAGGGCAGCAACAGTCTTCTCACTGCATCTGGGGATGAACTTGGAGTCGCCAAAGCTCTTGTAGTTGCCCATGTTGCCGAGGAACATGGCAACATACTCGAGGAAGAGGGTCAGCTCCGACTCATCAACCCCTGCCTTGTTGGCCAGCGCGTTCCAGTCACCATTGGCCGACTTGTGGAGGGTGATGATCAAGTCAAAGATGGGCTCTGACTCTGGGGAGAGCTGGCGCAGAACAATCCGGGATCCAGCAAAAGAAGCCCTACAATGGGTGTAAATAAGAGGCACTCTTCCATACCGACGGCACAATTGCATGATTCCATGGTCATCACACTTGACATGTAAGAAGCCGTCCGACTTACTTGCTGATGAAGTGAGCATATCGCTTCTGCTTTTCGGTCAAGAGAGCAAAGTGCTTCTCAATCTCGAGGCGCACGACGGAGGGTGGCTGGTCCGCCAGATAGTGCTTGAGGTCCTCGGGCTTCATGTTGGCGGTGGCGGTGGTGGTCGAGGCAAATCGAGATAGAGCGAAGCCTGCAATCCGAGGAGAGAAACTGCGTATACGGACTGAATGGTGCTTCTTCAACGAAGAGGCTTGGATCCTGATTGCTGGCAATCTCCGCGAGATGAGGGGCAGCACAAGAGAAGACATCAGGCCAGCATGACAAGCCGCGTGGCGTCGCTCTGTTCTGGAAGGAGCCTCTGAGCACGCAGATTCTGCCCCAAAAGTTCTCGAGTTGAAGCCACACAAGATGCCCAAAACAGCTAGCCGGCTAAATGAGCCTCTAGCAGATTGGATGGTGGCCTCTGGACCCAATTTGACAGGGCACTGTGTGCCTGTGGCTTGGGCGCCTTTACGCAACCCACCGTACCTACACTGTCGGTACCTTGCTCTACCTAAGCCAAGGCCGTTTGTTACTGTAGAAGTTGGCTCAAACGCAATTGCAGACAATAATGTGTTCAGTAAGAATGACCCCAGTATGTCAGGTCAGGTAACTCACAGCACACAGAAGAAAATACTGTTTTGATCACTGCTAGAACCAAGCTCTCATTCAACTGAATGATAAAGAGGCGCCTATAACTTGAATGGCAGCAGTTGGAAATGCCACTTGCGCGTGCTCGCACTCACCCACAATGGCAGGTGCCTGCGCCACAGGCGGGGTACCTGGAGCAGCGTCCCATCCAGGAAGGAAGGCATGGCGGGGTTGAGGGGTAACGTGCAGCAGACAAGAAGTAAAGATGGGATTTGAAGGACCTTTTGCCAGAGCTGTTGATGTACACAACATTTTTCATGCAAATTCTTCGTAAAACTACACGGACTGGAGCTTGGCAGACCTCATAGGTAGGTAGTTGCAGGAAACTTCTACTCAATTGATGCCCAGGCGCATCTGTGGCAAAGACAGTGTACATACTGGCATGTGCCTGTAGGTAGCCTTATGATGCCGCAAGCTACGGGAAGTACGCCAGTGCTGGCGGCGCTCCCGTGATGTCAAGAGAAGCAGAATTGAGTCTCGAAACTTACAAAAGACTGCTAGTATCAATTGACCAGTTCTCCTTTTTTCCTAATGAGATGCTACATATGGCAGCATTCCCAAAACGAAAGTCACACGACCATCCTTGTCGCTAGGTGGCATAGACCACGGAGAGCACCTTTCAATGCCTGCGATGAAACAAACAACTCCATATCCACAGCGCCCTTCTTCACGAAGTCATTCAGGGGTGAAGAAAAATAAAAGGCACAGGAAAAGGAGACAACAAGAAAGAAGTGGCAAACCAAATACGTCAGCCGCGTGATGAGAGGGAGCCCAAGTGCGCAGAGAGATTGGTCAACGGGACTCGTGTGGGTAATTGGCCTTTCATTTTACCATTCTCCCCATTGCGCCTGTTGATGGGCTCTTGTCCAACTACTTGTACCTTATATGTGAAACTTGCCCAGCTGCTGACATATCACTGGATTGCGACGGCATTGGCTCCTCAGCTACGGCGTCGTTTGCCCCTTTTGGTATGTTGTACTCGTATGTGAAACTGCTAGTGCTGTAAACGCCCGAAGACCTCTCGTCCATTCTAAACCGTAGCGCCCTCTCTCCCAGCTGAGCGGGTTGGATATCCGCAATTCCGGAAAGCTATCAATCGAGAGCAAACGCAAATGAGAATGCCTAAAAGTCTAGGTAGCCGGCACTAGGAGGGTGTAATCCGCGAATGGTTGCGGAAACGGATGCCGGCAGTTTGGTCCAAGTCCCAAAAGCCTCACATTGTTTGTCTGTTGGGCGGACTCTAGACGAGTTGCTAGGAACAGAGTACAGGATAGTAATACCACCTGCGAGAAAGGACTCAGTTTGCTGCCGTTCACCAGCGGCTTCTCCGTATTGTACGTAATCCGACTGGTGGAGCGCAATTTTCCGAACAATTGAAGCTGCCTTT